CCCCAAAACCCCAAAACCCCACCAGAGTAAGAAATTGAAATCGATTAAGTTTTTAATAAAATCGATAAATTTTAAGCGTAAATAATAGGTGAACAATGGGATGTGGACAAACTAAATTCAAGCCTCATTACATTCAAAACTACGAATTAGTGGAGCTGTTTGGTGGACCTATGAATGAGGAAAAAACTGAATTCAAACCAAAAAAGTAGTTACTTCTTGAGTAGAAGTAGATTTTTGATGATATGAGGTTTATTGAAAAGGCAACTTCATTTCATTTAGATAGAATCGAAGTATTTATGAACGAGGGACTTTGTTGTGGAATAGGAGTTACATTTAACCTAGATGGACTGGTCTTTAACAAAAATCACAAGGGAACTAAATTACCAAAGACTAGCTATGAACTCTAACTTGCTTAAAATGAAAACATTGAGTTCATTCAAGTCAATTACTCTGACGAAGGAATCCATGATATCATTCTCAAAAGTAACTTAGGGAATATGCTGGTAATGGATGATGAGTATGGAAATGATGGGGATCTTTAAACAGTTGAATATAATTTAGGAGATGATCACGATGCATTAATTGGATTCAAAGGTATGGCAGATGACTATATCACTAAGCTCTCTTTCTACAAAGCTACTAGAGTGGATGCACCAATTTCATAGTTAAGGACCCAAGCAACAAGGAAAAAATAACCGATGAGATTATCAAGTAATATTGATGGAGTGAGTGGTGAAGAAGATGATGATGCCGGATTAAATCATACTAAATCCCCGCCTAAAATGAGGACTGCTGGCTAATAGAGATATTAAAAGCCAATCCTCGAGGACATTTGAAGGTATATTATATGTAGGACTAGTAGTGATAGTATATTTAATTCGTGATAAAAGAGTAAAAGTTATCAACACACATTAGTATAAAAGCTTAATCATAACTAAGGAGAAAATATAGAAAAATAAGCTTTATTATTGTGCAATCTTTCTTTTTCACCTAATTAAAGTAAGCGGGGTTTTGGGGTTTTGGGGTTTTGGGGA